TAGAATTATGTACATGCATACTATATATGCATACATATGTGACAAATGCAAACACGTGATACAAAGAACTATAATAAGGATGTGTACCTTGATGATAGGCACTGTGATTGTTAGACTCACCAGCCCCTCTAGGTGCTGTCTCCTGCTCCATGTTTTCATTATGTAACTCTATTGGACCAGCACTGGGGACAGCACTACTGGGCTGGCAAGCTGTGAAGGTTGTGGATGGCTCTCCTGATTCAGCTCCGCTGTTTGGCTGCTCAGCAATGACAGAGCGCTGTGGCTGATCACCTGTAGCAGACCTGGTTTGGGGGCCTGTAGGGCCACTTTCAAACTGTATTTGCTGCACAGCACTGTTTGGTTGTGCAGTAGCATAACTAGCAGCACTCCTTGGCTGAGCAATGAGACTACTGTTTGGCTGTCCAATGACAGCACTGCTTGGCTGGCCAATGACAACACTGCTTGGTTGGCCAATGACAACACTGCTTGGCTGACCAACTGGACCACAATTGTCTTGTGACTGAGGTGATGTTGTCCCATTATAGGCAGCAGCATAGACAGCTCTAACAGTGGAAGGAGGGGGTACAGCAGCAGGAACAGATCTATTTGCCAAGGGAGGGGTGATAGCAGCACCGGTGACAACACCATTAGAAGAGGGGCGAGGGACAGCATCATTTTGAGAGGCTGGAGGTACAGCAGCATGAGGGACAGTACCATTTTGAGAGGCTGGTGGGACTGCAGCATGAGGGATAACTCCATTTTGATGGGCAGGTGAGACAGCAGCACGAGGGACAGCTCCATTTTGAGAGGCAGGTGGGACAGCAGCATGATGGATAGCAGCATTCTGAGGGACTGGAGGGACAGCAGTATAAACAGCACCATTAGCAGCATTGTAGGTGACAGCAGCAGGGACAGCTCTGTTGGCAGTAGTGTTTCTTCTCCTCTTCTTTCTAACCAAAACACTGATACCACCTCCTGCCAGGAGCAGACCTACAACTGCAGTTATAACTATCAGAGTTGTCTCCCACCATTTTAACCCTTTCTTGTTCTGTAGTGACGTGGAGGGAAGAGTGCCTGGAAAGAGATGGAATAACAGTTGTAAGTTAAAATATGTAGGCATTTCTTAGCTCTGAAATGACATCAATGGGGTCATGCGAGGTAAATGGTAGCATGTTCGGCTCAGGACCAAGAGGTCATAGTCTGAATCCTATTGTGGCTGATCTCGTGCCCTAGGGGAAAGGCACTTTACATATTTTTAACTTTCCTTACTTCACTCAGATGGAAAGGAGACCTATCTTCAGTTGGGGACGCCCCTTGAATAGGATGTTCAATTAAGGTCCCATGTTTGGGGAGAGCCACACCCCACACACATTAAAGATCCCACCCTACTCTCATGTTCCTAATAAACATACCCCCCGGAATAAACATCCCCCCCCGGACAAATCGTCAAAGTCTAATAAACATACCCTCCGGAATAAACGTACCCCCCGGAAAATGACCAAATTGACAGGTGAACTGTGTGTCTTTGATACTAAAATGTGCTCTTTATTTCAATACCTGAATATATTGGCAAATCTTTCACTGTTACATTTAATTAGTGAGTATATATCACTTTAATTAATGAGTATGTATATATTCAGTGGTCGAAATACTTTTTTTCAGTGCTCTGCAATATTGCAGAAGAGTCAAAATTTCGTCCTGCAATTTGGAAATACTTTCTGCAAATACACAAGCCCCCATATTACAACCTTCTGAAACCAATAATGCCTATTTTTACATCATATATATATATAACGGTATAGCTTTGTAAATCTGTAGCATTACTGAAATTCTTCAAAATATCACTCTTTTAAATATGTTCAGACCGTAAAATTGTATCGGTCCGGTCCAAAAAAAACCGAACGTCGGTGGACCGGTTTTTTGACCGGAACAAAAATCCATATTTGTTGCTACTGAATAACTGATGATCACTACATACAAAGAAGCCTGCCAGGAAAATGAAAATCCAGCCTTCAAATAAAAGAAGTTTACCTTAGTCTCCGTCTCTCTCATTTTGCAACAATATTTTCCCGTATTTTGGTACCGATAGTCATCTAGAAAGCATAAAGGACAAGTCTACGGGTCGTGCTTGGTTCGGATCGAGCCGAAAATCACTGATTTTACACCATATGGTCACAATGTGATGCACGTAAATTTTCACTCGAAATGAGAAATAACCGCCCAACAAAACGGACCATTAGGTTCCCAGTGCTGTATTTCTCTTTTGTTCATGTGTTTTCTTTGCTTGAATCGTGCAAAATACCAAGGAAAAACATCGAAATTTCGGCAAATTAACGCCGAGGCGAGTGTGGTTTTTCGGAGGAGCCATGTTTCCTTTGCCGTGTTGCCTGCTGGGAAATGCTCAGCGAAAACTGCCGAAAATTGCCGAGGCAGTTGTCGGGTCCTCCCGGGAGACGAAATCTAACATCGGAAAATGGCGAGTGCCCATATTTGGTTATCGTCGCCTTCGTCGCCTTGTCGAAATCGTTCAACTTTGACCCCAAATTCCCTTATATGGGACCATTACAGTCTGCTGGAAAACGCCGGCAGGTTCGTGCGGCGCAGGTTTTCGATCTATTCACAGCGCCACTGCTTTGCTAATTGAAAACTATTGAATCCAGAGCCTATTTTTTCCTTCTGCAAAATTGCAGATTGTAAGATTTTTTCTTCTGCAATCTTGAAAATCTATCTGCAAATTGCAGACTGCAGACGGGTATTTCGAACACTGATATTGTACTTGTTTTGGGGAAATACAAAATCCGTAGGAGAAACACTTCTGAAATGCACTTTGCTAAGCCTTCTCCTGCAACTTGAGTTGAAAATCTGACTAACTTAAGAGATAGAAAATCAAGCCCAATTAAGTACAAATATAGGGGTTTAATGAGTATATCTACAACAAAATCCATTTCAACATAATAATTATTTGGTATGGTACATTGTCTAGTCTGGTCAAAGTCTGGATTCTGAAGAAGAAAAACTTCTAGAAGAAAAAAAACTTTTGTAAGAAAAAAATAATTAATTCAGCATAAAATTTTGATTAGGTTTCCATCTCATTGTTTTTTTAAAATCGATAATGTGATTGTATCAATTTTAAAGCCCTAAAATTAGCTAAATCGGCGCTTTTACGGTGATTGAGCAATATGGGTGCCCTATGACCTTTGACTTTTTACGGGTCATGCTGCTCAGGCGCTAGGCGCCCTCCCCACGTCGGCCGTCCGTCTTGTGGGCAAATTTCTACTTTTTTAGGGGTTTCGGGACCTAAAAACTAACACCAGAGGGAAAATAAACCACATACGTTTTTTTCATGGTAAATATCGCTAAAATGGACCACGCATTATTCTGCCGCGTTGCCGATTTTGACAAGGACTTGCGGCCGCCATGTGCTAAATTATACGTCGATTAGCTACTCGTCTTCCCCTTCGGTTTTGTATGGGCAAATTTTTGCTTTTTCAGACGCTTTGGGACTTAAAAATGGACAGCAGGCGAAAAATAAATAATATACATTATATTCATGGGGAAATGCCGCTATCATGGACCAAATATTTATCTGTGACGTGTTGCCGAATTTTGCGGCCGCCGGCCACTTGCTGATGGTGCGGTACGTACGGACAATTTTTTTCCCAAAAAACGTACCGTCCCTAAATTAGGGACGGTACGTTTTTTATTATAAGAATGTAAAATTAAAATTCTTATTATAAGAATGTACCGGGTGGACGTTCGGGCCGAAAAAAATAAACGTACCGGTACGTTTAATCGGGACATCAGAGTACTTATTCCCAGTGTGAGTGACTTAAACCTTAAGTTACAGTCTGGCGTTAACGCAGCTTGTACATCTACTTACTGTACAGTGAAAACTAGTGTGTTACGCCTAAAGGCGTTATGCAACACAAACAAACAAGCACATTGAGAAAAAGACATTTAGTTTTTAATTAAAGCCTAGGGAATATCTCTAGCAGAAAGTAGACAGCATTTCCGGTCGGACTTTAGAGCATGGTACTACCTGAACCTGATGTTACATGTAAAATATAGAATACAACACGGGGTATTCCGTATCGCCCGAGGTATCGGCCCGACCGCGGCCGGAGGGCAATCCGACTCGCGGGAGGGCCAGGACCGAGGGCGATGCTGAATACACCATGTTGTATTTTATTTATGTCATACCCACCCAAGAAAACACGCCTTTCAATGCAAGATGAACCAAAAGTTGGTGCCACTAAACCCTAAAATGCAACAACATCAATTCTAACGTCCGGATTCTGTATCCAAATTTTCGAAAGGGGCACAAGCGGGTAGGGCGAAACGCCTTGAATCGTTTTATGGAAGCCGGCCATGGAAGCGTTCGATAACGGGTTCCGGACCGGGACGTACCGTACAGTACGGAACCCATTATCGAACGTTATCGCGGCCTGGGTATGATATAAGTACTAGTATGCAGCACTACTACTGGTACCTTTAAGTTCAACTTAGTATTACCTACAGAAGGCGGTGTACTGCAGACAGCATTGTTGGTTCTGCAGCAGGGTATGGTACATGTACCTGTATCATGTAGGAACCTGATGTTACATGTAATGTATTTAGCACTAAATATAGTACTATACCTACCTACAGAAGGTGGTGTACTGCAGACAGCATTACTGGTTGTATTGCAGGGTTCTCGTGTCTCTAACCCCTCCTCCTCACACCTGCTGCACTCTCCACACACCTGCACCAGAGATGTCTCGTTGGAGTAGAAGCCATCCTGGCACCTGATGCAGACTGTATCACTCTTGTATGTGGCTGTGTGGACAGATTTGTACAACCAGTGATGAGCTAGTCTGTTGGGGTTGTCTGCTGTTATGTACACTTTTGTATCTCGGCTGCCAGTGGGTCCTGGGATTTATTTGTTCATCAACAATAAACCAGTCTACAAATACAACTCCTTTTTGCAGTCTGTCACTAGACTGAGTATAAAATGACATACAGATAAAATACTATATATCACACCTCATTTACTCCACACATTTGACCATATGCTGCACTGAGAACTCAACATGATATAATAAGTTATCCAAAATATAACAATTTTCACTAATCAGGCACATACAAGATTAATTTATTAAAGGCCTATATTACATTATATAGATTACAGATTACAGACATTAAACGGATAGTGAGTGAGTGTGAGTGAGAGAGATTACATGGATATATATATATTGCACATTATTGAAGACACTGCACATGAGCACATTAGCACTTATTACAGTGCCTGTGAGAAACTTGTAATGATGTATGTGAAAAGCACTTTGGCAGAATGTATCATTTAAGGTCATATTCACATATTTAGCAATGTCATCCTGTACTTTACTTTTTAGATGTTGTGTCAGAAAAGACAGATATCATCTCCAACAGGCAAAATTCTGATGCACTGTTGACCAAACATCAAATAAAATATCATGAAATATCCGGGTTTTGCGCAGATACAGTACATTCTGCCAACACCCTATGTATAATGCACTTGTCATTGACAGAGTGTCAGAAAATTTAGACAATACATGTAGAACAGAACATGGAGCTTGAAAACCTAAGTAGATATTCTGTAGCAGTTTGACCTCATATATACCTTGATGTGCCACCCCTTGGCCTGGTCCACACGGTGTTTTAACTTTACATCCCGGCTCTACCAGACTCCAGAACCTGTCCTGGGGACACTGACAGATGTTGTTCTGGGTTTTGGAGCAGGGTTGGATGGGAGGGGCTGACCTGCCGTCCAGCCAGGCCGCGCTACAGTCACTGCAGCTGTGACAGCGGAGGTTACTGGAGGGGCAGGGCTGGTACTTGTTGTCTGGACAGACTAGACACCTGCTCTGGGTACTGCCTGGGGTGCAGTGATCTTCTACATAATGACCTGTGGAAACACACGTATGCATGAAGAATATTATTTATTAAAGAAGCCTTTTAATGGATCCTTACATGTTTTGTAAGGTACATAATCAGCATAATTCGTAATAAGTTCTGACAATTTAATGTTACTTTGTAATTTATGAACGGCGATAACCCCCATGCAGGCCCTCTACAGTTTTCATACAGGTACTAGTACATCATTTGAAATAGTTTTTTATTGCCTGGAAGCCATGAATTTTTTTAAGGGGCCATCTTCAAATATCACTATGTTTTTTGCCCTGGAGCTCACTACAATTAGTTCAAGCTGTTGCCCCCTGTGCGTTAGCCTGGAAAAAGTCTGGCATCCAGGCTAGATTTCGTATGACATCACCAATTTTTAGGATGATAGAAACAACTGTTAAGTCAGTCAAGTTTCTGGGACTTCATTTCACAGATTAGAAAACTTTTCAATGTTATTGATGAAAAAAGTGGATGCTACTTGAAATCAACATTTCTCAGATTCATATCTTAACTTTGCTCGAGTTCGAAGGAAAACATATTGTTTTTACTCAGTTTCTTCTTCTTCTGTTCCAAACACTAACTTCTGACCTGGCCAATGACATGATTTGTTGATGTCTGTCACCACGGTGACTGGTGTTGGATTACATAATGTTGCAATTTCATGGTCTGCTCTGCTCCTGTCACAATATACTCATAGTACATGTATGATGATGATGATGATGACTGCATGGTTTATTCACATAAACACATAACCACATATGTGAATGTGTTTGAGTAAAAATTAACAGGGCAGACCATATACGAAGGTAAACATTATGCATTTGCTTTGCAAATGTTATTTCTCTAGTTTCTTGTGTATCCTATTACCTAAATGTAGACATTAATATCAACATCAGAAAACCATATGTGTTACCTGCAGGGCAAAGCTCACAGGTCAGGCCAGGTATGGAGGGGTGGGGGTAGGTGTGTTCTGTTGGGCAGAAGTCTGGAGTGTTGTCAGCACCTGTAGTCTGGAACAACATGCCATAACTACAATTAGAGGTGGTGTCACTCACTCACTCCTTCACTCACTCACTCCTTCACTCTCTCACCAACGAACTTACCAACTCACTCATTCTCCCACTAACTCAAGTTCTATTCACTCACTGCTTCACTTACCCCCTTCCTCCAACACTAACTAAATCTCCCATTTACTCACTCACTCACTCACTCACTCACTCACTCACTCACTCACTCACTCACTCACTCACTCACTCACTCACTCACTCACTCACTCACACACTCACTCACTCACTCACTCACTCCACTCACCAACTAACTTACCAACTCACTCACTCTCATAGCCTGGGTTCCAGACCCATAGCACACTGGACACAAATATCTCAGTGAGCCTGGGTCTGGTAGGGTCAGATAGACCTGCCACTCGAACGCTCAGTATCTGAGCGTAAGGACCCATTGGTGGCACAGCAGGAAGCAATTCTACACCTCTGCTATGATTGGTTAAAAACTCCCAGCTGGATCTTTGAATCTTCACCAGCAGATGAGATAAAACTGTAGATAAGGTGTATTTTGTCCTGGTGTGTTAGAGGACTGTTACCTAAACAAACAGGAAAGCCTGGGTTGTACACTACTTCTACTGTTAAATTAAGTTCTGCTGTTATTTTGGAAAATAAACTCCAAAAACATCTAGAAAATTCACTGGTTAATGATTAACTGTTGAGCCCAAGATTGTCTCCTGCTGACCAATGGTGGTACCATGTAACAGGCTACCTGTGGTGTGAGGGGTCATCAATCACAGCTTCTCCTCCCTATGCTCGAGAGCCTTTCCTAAGAGACCCTGCCAGACCCTTGCACACTGAGATATTTTGTGTCCAGTGTGCTTTGGGTCTGGCA